AAAAAAGAAAAAAAAGTGTCAGATGAATTAAGATGATGTGAGTGGAGTAGCGCCCCTTTTTGGTTGCAGTACTGGGTGTTGAACCCAAGGCCTTCACACTGAGCTGCATCCCAGTCCTTATGCCCTTGAGACAGGGTCTCAGCTGTTGTCTCTTATGTGCTTTGAGTTTTCTTTTTTTTTTTTTTTGAGGAACCAGGGATTGAACTCAGGCCCATGCGCTTGCCAGGGAAGCGCTTATTCCACTGAGCCATCTCCCTGGCCCCTGTGCTTTGAGTTTTGCTTAAGACTTCATTGGAGAAGATTCTGCTTAGAATAAAACTAGAATCTGAGAGCCAGTGACAAAAGCTAAGCACGGGGCCTTGGGGCGAGGGGGTGCTCTTCCTTCAGATCTGGATGTTCACTGAGCCTCAGCTTCCACATCCTGGAAATGGACCATGTTAGGAGGAAGGAGGACACACACACACACACACACACACACACACACACACACACACACACACACACAGAGTTGGAAGAGCAGCTGATGGCACAGCGCCTGGCGGTCACACAGCACCACCCAGAGGGCACCTCTGCTCATTGCATGAGGACAGCCGGGGAGTGCCAGGGTGCCCAGCACAGCTGAGGCCTCTGTCCAGGCACACTCATCTCCTGCGTGGACTTGGACAGTCTTCTGCCCTTTTGTGAATGAGGAAAGAAAAGCTCAGAAGAGTGAAAGGTCCTTCCTCCCACTTCACAGCAAGGAGCAGACATCACTGGGGAGAACCTAGGTTTGACCTAATTGGCCTTGTCGCTCCTACAGACAGCCCTGGATTTGGGGGCTTCTGCAGGGGGGCTGGAGTTGGAGAAGGCCTCTTGGAGAACAGTGGATTGTGGCTACCTTTCTCCCTGCCTTAATCCAACATGGGCACATGGCTCACTGACAGGGTGAAGCCCTCTGCTTTTAACCTCCATCTTTCCAGCCAAAAGTGTCAGATGAACACAATTTTCTGTCTGTAGATTTTCCTATTAAAGTTAGGCAGGGTGGTGCTCAGGTGTAATCCAGCACTCAGGAGGCTGAGGCAGGAGGATTGCAATGAATTCAAGGTCAGCCTGGACTACCCAATGAATTTAACTCCAGCTTGAACTGCATAGTGAAACTTGGTCTGAGGAAAACAACAACCATTAGAGAATACAAAATAGAAAAAATTCTGGATCCTGTAATTATTTTAATAATAGCCAGCCATAGTGGCGCATGCCTGTAATCCCAACACTTGGGAGACTGAGCAAAGAGGATCAGGATCGCCATGAGTGTGAGGCCAGCCATGGCTACAAAGTGAGTTTAAGGCCAGCTTGAAGTACATAGTGAAACCCTGTCTGAAAACACACACACACACACACACACACACACACACACACACTCTAATGTCTCCTCCCTTAGTAAGTATGCCCTCAACCCCATCTTCTCAGCTTGTATCATCTTTTTACCCTGCTTGCTGGAGTTTGCAGGAACCAGCAGAGACCTGCCAGGGTGGTCACACCCCTTACTTTCCTTCTCTGCCTCAGTGCTGGGCATTAAGGTTTCACTGTTTCCAAGCAGGTGCTGCTGCCGTTTCAAGGGGAAGACCAAGGTCACTGCCCTGTGTCCATCCCGTCTTGAGCGCTGCTTCTGGGTCCAGAACTGTGCAGACTCACCTGGCAAACCCAGGGGAAGGGCGCTGCTGGCCAGCAGCGACCTCTTGCTCCTCCAGCTGCATACCCTGAGGTCCAAAAGCTGAAGTAAAGGGGTGCACATAGCCACTCTCCCCCATCCAGAGGCCCTGCCCTCACCTGTACCTTTGCTCTCAAGACCTCTGAAATCAGAGAACAGAGCGGGCCAGCATTGATTTGATTTCTACTTTGCTTTTACTTTCAGCTCACCTCTCACAACAGAGCCAAGTGTTTGTCTCCCTGCCCTGGAAACACACAAAACCAACCTAAGGAGTTTCTTAAGTTGAAAGCCTGAGGTAGCCAGGCAGCTCTTTCCTGCATCTCTCTGCACCCCAGTGCAAGACAGACACGGCCCCCTGGCTGATCCTGGAGGACAGAGGGGCCAACTGCCTACTTTTCCAGGAGTCGAGTGTAGAATCAGGAAGAGAATGTTAAAGCAATGGGGTGGTTACTCAGGCACAGAATGGTGGCCCAGCTCTCGGATGATGGCTTCTCTCCTGGTTCACCCCATCCCTGCCCTGCCTTCTAAAGCTGGGTGGGGTCCCAAATGCACTCCAGTCAGGAGGTGACAATTTAAATGAGCATCTCGTCTCCCTGCCTTCCTACATAAAAGAAAATTGCTGTATATGGTTTTGCTTCTGAGGTAGGCTTTCACTATGCAGTTCAGGCTGGACTTGAACTCAGAGCCATCTTCCTACCTCAGCCTCCTGAGTGCTGGAAATACAGGTATGAACCATCACACTTGACTTTTTTATGTCTAAAACTCAAGTTTAAGGTCAAAGGGGGCCAAGAAAAATGGGTTTTCTGAGTCAGTATGACATACTTCATTCATAGAAGCTGGTATTTTATGTCATCGTGACCCGCTTTTTTTTCTTGGTGGTACCAGGGATCAAACTCAGGACCTTGCGCTTGCCAGGAAAGCACTTACTTCACTGAGCTAGTGACCCTTTACTTCTTAAATAAGTTTATTAGAGCCAAACTATTTAAATATCTTTATTTGTTTCATCCTTTGGTAGATGAGAAAAATACATTACAAAATACATTATACAGAGGACAGCTCACAGTACACATTACTAAAAACACAATCTACATTCCAGCCAGGTAGGGCTGGTGTAAGTTCAGAAGAAAGCCAGAGAGGCCTTGGTGACCGATTTCGGCTCTTCAGAATGAGTCCCCCACGTTCCCTTAGCCACAGCATCTATTAGCACCCTAGTCAGGTGAGAGCGGGCAGTGGCAGCAGCAGGGTGGCACTGCGGAGCGCCCGTACACCAAAAGCAGCAAGATGTGTCTAAAATCTCTCAAGAAGGGAAGTGGAGGGAGTGGGCAGAGGTGGGGCAGTGGGAATGGCCACCTGCTGCATCCCAGGCTCACAGAGCTCCTCTGGCCACGTAGGTATTCCCGTGTGGCTGTCCCAGGCCTGGGTTTTCTGACGTGCCAACCTTTCATTCCAGGCTTTATCCAATCTGTAGGCAGAGCTGGTCCTCAGAGCCTCCTCACTAGGCGCTGCAGGAAGTGCCTGAGATACACAGTCGCGTCCCAACTTTACAGCAAGTTCCCACAGCACAGCACCACTGGCTCCATCTCAACACCCCCAAACAGCTCCCCAAGCCCACGGTGACCCCTCTGAGTGCCAACCACTGCCAAGACGACCCACCTTACAAGACTGGAACCCAGAATTCTCCAAGCCACAGAACTTACTTCAAAGCTGTTCTCATTTCCTCACAAAACCAACTGAAGCAAGACAGGAGGAGGCAATCAGAGCTGACCGCCTATCACCATCCAGGGCTAGTCAGAACCACTTCCAGGAGGGAAGGAAGCAGCAGGAACACAGGGGCTGCGGACACACTGCGTGCTGCTGCAATTAAGAGGGCCACACTCATACTTGGTGGCTGGCCTTGGCCCCAATCATGTTAAAGAACTTCTATGAAGTAGCCTCTTGAGCCTCCACATTTTCTTTTCGTTAGAAATCTGAAAACAGTCTGAGACTAGAAGCAAAAAGCAGTCCCAAGTATCAAAACCATCCTCAGCCGACTAGTCATGCGGCAGGCCAGGTTCTGGGCTCCAAGGGCAAGTGCTGGCTGCTCCAGAGGCTTCTGGGAGCCGGGGCGGACCAGGCAGGTGCTTCTGCTCACTTCATTCTCTGGCCTTCGCAGGGTACTGAGCGCAGTGGACCTGGCGCCTGCTCCTACCTCCCAAGCTGTTAGGGGATTGGGTGGGACGGGACATGGGAATAAAAATAAAGATGAGTCAAGACCAGCATCTTCAAATTAACAAACTGTAATTGTTTTCCCAAAGATACATTTTTTTCATACACATCCATCATACACTGTAACCAAAAAAAGCAGTGTACATGAAATAGGAGAAAATAAATTAAAAATCCATAGCATAGGTAAGGAGGCTCTAGTCTGGAGCACAGCTGAGTTTCCAGCAATATAAGGAGGCTTGAGAGTTTCTTTATAAGAATGCCTGCTAGCAAGGGTTCCAGCAAGGTGGTTGGTTGGTCTGTAGTCAGTCTTGAGTACTTGAAACAGTTTGTGTGTTTTATTTTTTTTTCCTTAGCGTTTAGAATAGCCATCATTGTCCTGCAATAGGCAGAGCTATCACGTCCAGGAAAAATGAGGGAGGGAACCACAGAGGCAGCGTGAGATCCAAATACAGCATTCAAAGGTAATTGGTCCAGTGGTGCCTGGGGGAGGACAGGGGTGACTCCACAGTTAGCCATCTTCCTTCGGGGGTGTGTACCAGCCTGCAGAGATACAGAAGAATGAGGCATAGGCAAGGACCTCCACCCCGTCCACACCAACACCTCAAGGCTACACACAAGATCCCAGGAGGCTTCCTGGTGAGGGGGGCGGAGGTGGGGTAAACAGACTTGCTACCTGCAGGGTGTAAGGAAAGAGTTCAGTCTGAGGTGTCAGGAGTTGGACAAGCTTTTCAAAGGTGGTCAGGAAGAGGGCAACACCACCACCACTGGTGCTTCTCTAAGGAGAGGCTGGGGTGTCAGCTCCCCAGATTGACTCCAGAGGGCTGGGAAGTGCCAGTAAGATCAGGGACCAAGGGGGGGCTCTCATTATTTGGCTGGAGTGAAATCCCGGACCTGGCATGAATTTGACTCTTCTGGGACCCAGCTCCAGCCTCACCGTTTTTTTCGTGGATCTGCACCAAGGACTTGTAGGACTGCTGTGCTCTTGTCAGACTGTACTGGGACTGGGGAGAGAAGTCACCAGATGAGGCCAGTTAGCTGTGGCCTGACTGTCCCTAAGACCCAGGAGCTCCACCCAGCTCCCAGCTTGGTGGTCTGGTAATGTCTGGTTGCTCTGAGAGGTCCTCCCCCAACCCGCAATCCCACAGCACCCCCTTGCAAACCTGGCCACCTACTAAGCTAAGGATGCCCTCTGGGGCACACAAAGGTCCACTCCTTTCCTACCATGGCTGCAGAAGAGCCTTTCTTCCAATGCCATCAGTCCAAGGACTTTACCCTCTTGGTCCCCCAGGCTACCTCTAGTGGCCCAGACTATGCTGGGCTCCGCTTCACCCCACTGGCTCTAGGACCCTTACTTTGTTGGCTCCAAACTGCACTCGTGCTTTCCCCTTCACCAGCGTGGCACTGATCTGCATGATCACAGACTCTATGGAGTAGGCACTGCTCCAGCCCTGCGGATGGTAGGGACACAGCCAGTCAGGACAGAGCTTCCAGGGAAACCTTGTGCTGGTCCTCTGGGCTGGCAGGGGCCCCTAGGGAAAGGCCCTTGCCCTCACTCCCAGCATAGCCCCAACCTGTCTGCCTGGCAGAAGGAAAGGGCCACAGTATGCCAGGAGTTCAACAGGGAGGAGCTTGGCCAGCCCCACCCCAGGCCAGGCCAGGCCAGGCCAGGCCAGGCCAGTCCAGCCAGCAATAGGAGACAGGCTCACCTGCTTGGTGAGAAGTTCCATGCAGATGGCACCTCCGCCCAGAACATACCTGCACCAGAAAGGTTAGTGAGCTGTGTCTGGCAGAAGCCCCAAGGCCCTTCCTTACCTTCTTCCCCTGGCCCAGCCACTCACCCTCCGGAGAGGACTGGAGACACAACCCTGACAAACGGTGGGTCAAAGGGAAAGTTATCCTGAAACAGAAAGAAAGAGAACAATCAGGGAAGGAGGAAGTATCCACATAGCGACACAGGTCTTCAGGCAGACAGGCACAGCTAGGCCAGGGAGGGAGGAGGAGGAGAAAGTCTTACTTTAAAAGAGAAGTTAAGTAGGATAAAGTCGGAGCCTTCCTTCTCTTTGAGGATCTGGAGATCATTGTGCAAAGCGCTGTCCTGGTCAACTCTACAAAGTAACAAGCTTGGGCTCAGATTCATGGTCCTGGCTCAGGAGCTTAAGGGCATCCGCTCCTCAGCCTGGCAGCAGATGAACACACCACTGCCCACACCCACTCCTGGGACCCCTCAACGGGCTAGATGGGACTGCTGGATGGGACTGCTCTCCAGAACCACCTGGTCACTTCACTCACACTGCCCCTTGATTCCCTAGAGTCCGCACTCACTTGAGGAGTTTAACATTCCAATCATATAGACTATCATTCACGAGTTCGACTGCATAGTTTCCTGGAAGGAGAAAAACTGTTAGAACAGCCCAAGTGGCAAGTGGCACCCATGTGGATCCCTCTCCCATATGCAAGAGGAAAGACCAAAGGCTTGACAAGTGCTCCAGATGGTCAAGATTCCAATCCAAGGCTTGACGAGTTCCATCCCTGGCCTAAAATGTTCCAAAGCACTCGCATGTCCCAGGATCCCTTGTTCTTGTCATTATTATATATGCTTTACAACAAACTCCTGCCCCTCTCTATGGCAAACTCACCGCCTTTGAAACTCTGTGATCGGTATATATCCCTGAGCTCCTTCATCAGCCGGTCAGTGGCCTGCACCGAGCCAGACACCGCACCCTGCAAGGGAGGGAAGATATATTTTTCAGTTGTGTGGTTCAGAAACATACATGCTAGAGTGTAGGGACAGTCTACCAGTTTGCCCAAGACTTAGAGACGGGTTAGACACACCCAAGCTGAGCAGTTGATAGTTCATGGCTAATGCTTCCCAACCAGTGTGCACCAACCAACCCCCTGCCCAGCCTCTTGCTACAAGGCACGTACATTTAAGTAATCTTGCCTCTGGTTCTTTTTAATTTTCTCAAGGATGGCCAAGTTTTCTTTTCCAATGCCATCATCTTCAGATTTTTTGCCCTCAGCTGGCTCTTCCTCTTTCATTTCATAGTGATCTAGGTCTTCTGTGTCCTGCAGCAAGTGTGGGGTGGGAGTGGAACAGGAGAAAAGATACCGTACAACTTGTGGATAAGGACTGTCACCTTCCCAGGCCCATTTGGCTTGGAGCCGCAAGGTCAGGAGCAGTCTTACCAACACAGTATCTCCCTGTCCCTGGAAAAGATCCCAGCCCATTCCCTCCACAATAAAAACAACAGAGCAAATTTCTTCTCTTTTCAGTTCCAGACTATGGCAGCAGTGCTATAGTAAGAGACTCAGTCTTTTCTTCCCCAGGATGACCTCATTCTAACTGACTCTCAAACTCTCCTCTAGGGGACAGGGAGATGGCTCAGTAGAATAAGCGCCTGCCTGGCAAGCGCAAGGGTCTGAGTTCAATCCTCGGTTCTGCAAAAACAAAAACCAAACAAAACAACCAAACAAAAACAACAAACAAAAAACCCCCTCTCCTCTGGAAGCAGAAATCTAGCCTAATTCTAGCAGAATGACTTTGGCCTGACACTGTGACTGAAAGCTCATGTATCACTAGGTAAAACTATTGTACCCAGAAGTCCTCAGAGCCTAGACCTAAAGAAAAAAACTGATAAATCATCTCTTTATAAACATTAGACCTAGGGCTGACCAGATAGCTCAGTGGATTAAAAGCGCCTGCTCAGATAGACACAGGGGTCTGGGAGGCTTGATTCACTGGCCTGCTGGCCCCACCCCCAGGCATGCTGAGACTGGGCGTGGTGACACCTGCCTGTAATCCCAGCATTTAGGAAAATGAAAACAGGAGAATCATAATAAGTCCAATCTGTGTAGTGAGACCCTGTAGTCCCTATAGACCCTGCACTAAACATAAAAACAAACACTTAGACCTCAATCAGAGGTATCCAATGCGTGGGGCCGGGGAGATGGCTCAGTGGATTAAGCACTTCCCTAGCAAGCCCAAGGGCCTAAATTCAATCCCCGGTTCCACAAAAAAAAAAAAAAAAAAAAGAGGTACCCAATGCCAAAATGAAAATGGGAAAGGACTGCTGTGCCCCGCTCCCAGAGCACACTAAGAAGGCAACTGCAGTGGCAAGTGCCTTAATCCCAGCTCCTGGGAGGCTGTAAACAGGCGGATCACTATCCTATCTCATGTGAGACCCTGAACACCCTATAGACGCTTTCCTAAAATACACACGCACACACACACAAAAAAAAAAAAAGAAAAAAAGAAAATGAAAATGGGCAAGGAGATCCAGAAGGAAATGATGGGTCAAGAACAGAATCAGTTTGTATGTGTGTGGTAATGGGGATTAAACCCATGGCTGTGCATATGCTAGACAAGCACTCTACTACTGAGCTGTATCCCTACTGCCAGAATAAGTTCTTTCTTCACACTGCTTTAAATGAGCAAGTTCACTGTACAGGGGGAAGAGACCATACCCAAGGTTAGCCTCTCATCAGATGTTGGGAGTACTGTTCACAGGGCCATTCACTGTCTGGGAGGAGCAGATATCATGCATTTTGTAGGTCTTAAGATCTTTACAATGTTACAGAATCAAACACGATTTTCAGGACTAAGAAACAAAGTGACCAGAGTGACCCTCACTGTGGCAGAACACATCAACCCCCTAGTTACTGTATCAGCAGCTATTACTGACTGAATGCTTATCACATGAGAGCTCCACACTAGTTCATTTTGTTCTTCATTTTATATCAATATCCTGTTAACTCCACTTACAGCTGAGGAAGCTAAGGTCTAGGGAGGTCAGTTGCCATGCCTAAAATCAGAACTTAGCAAAGCTAAGACTTAAATCAAGCTCTATCTGGACTTGAAGCTCAAATCTTAACTATTATGTTGTATCCTATAGGAGCATATTTTCTAGTAACACATTAGGTGTCTCATTTAACATAATGTATAATATAATGAAATATTTATAAAGTAACCAGGACACAAACTCAAGTCAGTTAAAATTCTAAAACAGTCTGAAATTAACCTGCAAACTTTTATTTGGTTCAGACAGATCTGCACCTACTTTCAGGGTTGCATGTGGTTTCCTATCTCCTTTACCTCACTGGCTACTCCTTCAAGCCAGTAAATCTGTCTATATTCCTCTCACATCTTTCCCTCCCTGGTTCTGGAGCTTAAGGGTACCCAGGGAAGGTTCTGGAGCTTTGTTTAGAGCAGGCCTTCAATGCTGCCAATCGCAAGAGCTTCCTGTCAATGGCCCCTCCAGCGGAAGCCTACCTCAGGCATCTCCTCATCTTCATCTTCTGAAGACACTTCCTCCTGTGTGCACTGTAAGGGAGGAGATGGAGATTAGCGCTCCAGAAGCTGGCTAGGAGGAAAGCCTCTAACCTACTCCCCTGGGCCTCCAGGTCTGAAAGCTGGGTGCTTGCCCATAATGTTGCCATCTCTCTGCCAGCCAGAGCTGAGCGGAAGCAAGAGCCCTGGGAATGACTGCCCTACCAGCCCATTCTCCTGCTACCCTATGCCAAAGAATGAGAGGGGAGAAAAACAGCTGTTCTGGATACTTTTCTCATACAATCCAGTTTAACTTTCCTAAGAATCCCTTTTACTTTGTCTTCTCTACACTGATACTGCATTCTTGGTTCTAAATGAGGGACCTGGCTCCCCAGTGGCCACCCACTACTATTGATAAGATAACAGCAAAAATCCTGTCTCTCAACCTGAGGGACACTGCCCCTGAGAGTGGGTTTGATAGAGATGAAGCTGCTGAGTTCCAGTCAGTGAGGTTCCCATCTGGAAAAGCTGGGAAACTTGTACATGTGTGTTGGGGAGTAAGAGGGTGGGGGGTGGGGTAAAGCCATTGGAGATCTGCCTCAGTAAACAGATACTTACTGAAAGCTCTTAACCAGACAACTCTGTTATCAGGGCCTAAAACCTTTCAGCAGCTCACCTGCTCTGCTGGCAAGGGCTGATCCAGCATCTCCACATCAGGATGTTGAGGGAGGTTGTAGAGTTTACATAGGTCAGAGATGATCCTCTTCAGGTGCTGTAAGAGCTGGAGTGGGGACCAGAGACATCAAATACTCCTTCCCCACTCCAATCTGGATGGCTGCATGGAGAAGCTCCTAGTTCAGTTCCTAACCTGGTACCTAGTTCTCTAAACAAGATGTGGCTATGGAAATGAGTTTCCTGGTGAACCTATCCTGGGTTCACTACAGCAATCTGCCTCTGGCTTCAATAAGCAACTCCCCCAAGTAGCCTGCCCCAGAGGTCCAGCTTTTGGTACCATCCACTTTCCCAACACATCTCCCTTTAACAGCATGCCTGTGACATAGCCTTACAGGAACACATGTGCTCCTATCCCACAGTCCTCTCACCAGAGTATTCCCTTTCTTTATGTCCACCAGTCTCTCCAAGACAGCAGCCAAGTTGGGGTCATCAGACTCCACCGACCAGATGGGGGGCACAGCAGGGTATGACTCCTGAGGGAAAAGAGCAGGGAAAGCAGTCACAGGTTGCCCACCCCCGAACCCTATTCACAAAAGCCCAGCTTAACAGGTCAGTATCTAACCAGGCACTTCCCAACCAATCCTAGACTGGAAGAGACCCAGTCCCAGGGAGGACCTTTTCAAGGCAACAATCTGGAACTTTTTTTTTCTCCAGAGCAAAATCCAAGAAAAGTATCATGCCATACCATGAAATCTCTGTAAGTTTACAGCCACCTCAAAATCCTCCAATTCTTCTGTTTCCCAACTCCAGAATCAGAGGATAAAAGAATCACACTAATATGGGAGGGTAGCCCCCATACACTCTAGGTCACCAGGGAAGGAGGGACAAAAATTTAATTGAATCTCCAGAAATGAAGGAAGGCAGGCTCCTCACCCTGTTCCTAACAGAATCCCTAAAAAAATCAGTTCCCTCCATCTCTCCCTTGGGAACCTGCCACCTTCTCAGTCCAGACGTGGGCTGTAGGGCTCCACATGGCAGACTGGAAGAAGCCTACGCTGCTGACATTCCCAGCATTCCTGAGCCAGGATGCCAAAAGCTTGACCAGACCCCCCACACCCCCTAAGACCAAGGGCCAAGTTTCCTTTTTTTTTTGCGGAACCGGGGATTGAACTCAGGCCCTTGCACTTGCCAGGCAAGTGCTTATTCTACTGAGCCATCTCCCTGGCCCCCAAGTTTCCTTTACAGGGGCCACAAGGACCCCTATTTGGCTGACGACTCCCTAAACTAACTTTCTGCTGAGACAAAGATAGTTGATGTTCTCTAACAACACAAAAGTGCAGGTAGATGGGGCAAATGTTACCCTCGAGAAATCAGAAATTTAACTGAATAAAATTAAACCCTGAGATTTCTGCACTTGCTGAGGTAGCATTATCCACTCCCACTAAGATCTTACTTCTGTCCCTGCTCTACCCCTCAATCCTAGAGAAAAATATCAAAAATTTTTCCATCTTCACCTGACTAAATCATTCCTGGTTTTTCCAAGGTAATTTCTCTAGGAAGAGGATTTAAAAAAAAAAAAAAAAAGTTGTGGAGGGCACCACCAAACCAAGCTATGACCTGGGTTAACTAAAAGGATAGAAAATACTATGTTAACTAAATCCAAGCCCCCAAGCACCACCAAAGCCACAAGTCTGCCTTTTCCCCAGGCTACTCCCATTTGCAGTTTGCCTGCTTGGACCAAGTACTGCCCACTAGCTCCCTTGCTGTTCCAGCAGGAAGATCATCAAAGCAAAGAATAACAACCGGTGTAAGCGCTATACCTTTCAGTACCAGACATTCCCAATTACCCCACACCAACCCTGCTCCAGGCAGAATAAAGCAGGACACATGGAAGGCGTCTCCTAATCCAATATAGAGTACTTAGGGTGGGAAGATGCTAGCTAGGGAGAAATAGAACTGTTACTGCTCAGAACAAATGGAGTAGCCTATACCCATCACATTGCCACCTTTACCAGGAAAGGCAACAACCTGTATAACAGGGCAATCCACAAGGAAAAGAGAGAAGACTGGTAACTACCACCAGCTGAGAGAGTCAGAAGTTATAGCAGAATAAAAGGGAACCCAAAACAGTCAAAGAAGTCAATGAACTGTAATCACTTGAAGTTCAGAGAGCAGAGGGGCTGCACGAGGGATGCCTGGGCAGAGAACCCACAGGTGTAACATCCTAAGTCAAAGGAACTAGTGAGAATGGTCATCGCCAAAATGTGCAGAGTTCCATGCTAGGTCCTTCCGACTGGGGTCAATGAAAAAGGCTCCAGCCAGGTAATTAGAATGGAGTGAAAAAGGGGCATTCCTGGGTAGCATGGTAAAGTTGTGAAGCAGACGCCCAAAGAAACCAAAATCGTGAACATTAGGACGTGGGTGAGTTCGTGGAAGGGGACAGGAGACGAGCCATATGTCGAGATGTTCCTCGCTACCTGGGGTCAACAGTAGGCTCTAGGGGCATGGCAGAGCCTCAAGCTGCAGAAGCCACTGTAACCTGGAAAAGGAGCTAAACCCCGGGAGGGGCTTTGGCCTCCCAAGTCCTTCGACAGCAAAAAACTGTATGGGGTGAGCTCTCTAGTCCCCGACGAGCCCCCTCCCCACCCTCGTCACAGGCGCACGCAAGGGTCCTCACCGTGATGTTGCAATGGATGCGGACGGGATCCCCAGGCACCGACCCCCGAGTGGGGATATGCGGTCCGGGCGCGGCCCCGGCCCCTGTCCCTCCGGCCCCAGCCAGCAGGAACTCGCAGCTGAGCTCGTCCAGGCAGGCGCTGGCAATGCGGAAGCGCTCGTGGCCGCGGTGGAAGATGGACTCGAGCAGCTTCAGCTCCCGCCTCAGACAGGGCCCCG